CTTGGCATGTCTTTGTGTAAATATTGGGACACAGTCACTGTAAATCCTTTACAAACCAGCAGAGCCCGGCGGAAAGAGGAGAGGCTGGGACAGCAAACCCAGCAGGGACTCCTTGCGTCAGCCACGCCCCAGGGAAGCAGCTTGGCCAAACCGTCCCACGAATGTAAATCATCTATTAGCAAGTCTGACCCATGCCAAGTGCTTAAGCGGTTATTAATTTTGCACTGAGTGTTTTCTATTCCAAAGAACATATCATTCACATGGGGCTATTCTAAATGACTCAATGGCTGATTCTGGCATTTTAAGTCCTAAGAAACACTCTTTTTGTGTTTTGTTGGGAGGAAAACACAGTGAGTGCTATACATATTAGTTGGGTATATTCGAAAGTTCTAACAAGAGGAAGCCATTTAGACATGTAATTTTTATTCATCAAAGATGGACTGAGGCCTGATTATGTGCCAGGCACTGCCAGGGACAAGAAAGACAGAGGTAACATGAGAATGTGAACTTGTCCTCTGCTGGGTGGCTCTCACCCCGAGTGGCTTTGCTCCCAGGGGACATCGGGCCGTGCCTGCAGGCATTTCTGATTCTCACGACTGGGTTTGCTAATAGTAGAGACCTGTGCTGCTGAGCCTGCCGCAGGCCCAGGACAGGCTCCAACCCCACGGAGTTGTCTGGCCCCAATACCAACAGTGCCAAAACTGAGAAATTTGAAATAGGCAATGAGATGCCCTTGGGGGTTCTTGAGTAGGGGAGTGACAAAAAAAATTTTTTGTACTGATGCTCTCCTACTCCTGAGAGGAAGTTAGCTACCAAAAAAAGGTGTCACTTTAGGCAATGGGCTGATTCCACCAAAGCTATGGGGCAGTCGATGTTTTAAAAATTAAAACTGCATGGCTCGGCGGTTGAGCATCGACCTAGGATCCAGGAGATCGCGGTTCAATTCCCGGTCAGGGCACAGGCCCGAGCTGCGGGCCCGATCCCCAGAAGGGGGCGTGTAGGAGGCAGCTGATCTATGACTCTCTCTCATCATTGATGTTTCTATCTCTCTCTCCCTCTCCTTCTCTCTCTCTGAAATCAATAAAGATATATTTTTTTAAAATAATAATAAAATAATAATAATTAAATAATTAAATCCTATTTTAAATGGACTAGAAGAGCTTCCGAATAGATGTATCTGGGGCTGGATGGTGCCCAGGCTGAGGAACGGGCTCTCCTGCTGCATCTGCTCAGCTGCCTCACAGGGAAACTGGAATCTTCTGTCATGGACCCGGTGATCCCCCTCCGAGACTGAGTGATTACCCTCGGCTAGCTCTCTCATATCTGTAAAGGTTCACTTCAAGGTCAGCATTTCATCTGATCTTGCAAGAGGGAAAAGTCCCAAGTTTAACCTAATTCTTCACATGAGTCCAATGTCACAGGATGCTGGGAAGTGCAGGAGATTATAGGAGAAACCGTTGGCTGAGATCAGAGGCCAAGAGCTGCTGACCACAGACAGGCTTCCTGCCCTCAACCTCCTCGGGTAACTCTGGACAAAGGCCAGACTAGGTGACCCCCCAAACCCAGTGGCTTGTAGCTGGCAGTGACTTTAGCCAGCTCCAGCCCCCTCCTGTATGCAATGAAGAACAACTGCCTTGACCCAGAGTCTTTTTTAAACCAAAGTAAAAGAATAAAGTTCTCATTTTAAATATAAATAATAAAAATGACAAACCGAGGTGGTACGGTTTTTGCCTATACCGGTGATTCTCTACCAGGGTTCCTTTGTCCCCAGGGGCACATTTCACAACGTCTGCAGACATTTGTGGTATTTCCAGCCAAGGGATGCTGCCGGCATCTGGTGGGTAGAGGCCAAGGTCGCCACGAAACATCCTACAATGCACCAAGATTTACCCAGCCCCAAACCTTCATAGTGCCAAGCTGGAGAAGCCCTGTTGTACACGGATAAGAAAAGGCAGAATTTCTTAACCGTAGCACATCATAAACAGCACTTTCTGCTTCCTACAGTCTAGAACCTGGGCTGAGCTGAGTGTACACTTGGGCAGCGTCCACGATGACCCATCAGCACATCCTTGCTGTGAAACCACCAGGCTCGGCAGATGCCAGACAGACACACTCCGCTCCGTTACCAAGTGTCAGGCCAGGGCACACGCCCTGAGCTCCTGAGATTTTCCTTGACAATCCCTCTTGCTCTTGTTATGCAACGGCCATTCCTGGGCTATTTGTCCAACATACCTTATCTCCTGCAACATCATCTTTTTCTGTTTGGTGTGTTTTTTCAATTCCAGGCAGACCGTGCCCAGTATAATAGTCTTGGACAGACATTCTTCCTGTCTGGGGTATTTTCTTCCTGTCTAGGGTATTTTCGGTGTTGCCCTAAAGTTTGCAAAATGTTTTGGGTTTTTTTTTTTTTCCTGAAAAGATATTCTTGAAAATCAATAAACTTCAGAGAATGGAAAACGCTGATTAGTGACTTTTCAAGATATGGGGCATTTCATTGGAATGGTTGACATAATATCTCAACCCAGAGTGAAATGGGTGCAGAGAGAGTGCCTCGGCATGCCTACTATTCAGAGGTTGTCCTTGTGGACCCAAAAGAAAACTGAACACTGTATCGGCCATGAAAATAAACAGTGGTCCATCACAAAGAGGAAATTAGGCAGTGGGCCTAAAATAATGTTGAACTAACTTGACGTTCCCCTCGGTCCCATTTTGTTTGATTTCTCGGGGAATGTGTAGATACTCGGAGTTATTTGCTCTTCCAAAACGCCTGCCTGCATCTGTTTGGCTGGAGAAAGGAGATCGCCGGTAGTGGGGATATATTGATGGGAAAGGATGTTGGTAAATATGGGTGAAGTTAATAAGCATTAAATGTAATTATGATCTGTTTAATTTTTTTTTAATATTGGCAAAGAATAAAATTTCAGGAAATCTGTGACTAACGTGTCCTGTATTTCCTGAGCATTGAGTAGGCCAGTTTTCATTTGGTCGATGTGTGGTAAACATGGCAGCTACTCTCCTAATTTCTAAATATTGTGTTTTCAGTTTTACCTCCCATGTGATTTATTTATCCACTAGAGATGTTCCAGAGAAGAATTTGGTCACACTCTTGTTTGTGTGATCTACAAGAAAAGAATGTCTTTCAGAAACCAAGCCCACCTTCCTTGGCTTTTGGCTCTGCTGTTTTCTCTTCTTGGGGTGTTCTCCCCAAGTACTCTGCCTCCCCAGTCAACACCATCGCTTCCCCTGCACCTCTGTCTTTCCCGGCCTGGTGAATTCCTACCCATCCTTCAAAACCCAATTCAAATATCCCTTTGCTCAGCCTTCTCAGGAAGAACTTGTTATTCTCTCCAGTATACGACCATAGGATAATTACTTATGTGGCCTATTTATTCTTCTAGATGAGATCGTTGCATGCAGGGAGGTCTGGGCTCCTCTGATCTATTTTGACTTTTTGTATCTGTGGACTTCTACAGTGCCGGGTTCAAAGTAGGCAGTCAGCATGTAAGTGTTGACTAAATGAGTGAATAGTGAATGGGAGGGTGACAGGTGGGTGAAACAAAATAATTCATCTCTCAGACACCCTTCCCCCACTAATATGAATGCCACTTCTCAGACCTACCCAGTCTCCTTATATATGTGACTCGGTTTCCCACCTTCCCACTCAGTACCACTGGTCTCTTTGTCCGCCCCTCAGGGTGTTTTACTTTTTGTGACTGTAGAAGTCTTACTTTATGGTCAGATATGTTTTCCTGCATCCTGTTTGCTCGAAATTATCATGGCTATTTTCTGCCCATCTTGTCAACTTTTGTGATGAGCACCACAGAATGGAGATTTTTACTGAAATTGCATTGGATTTGTAGATTCATTCGGAGGATAATTAACCTCTTTATAAGAGTAAGCATTGCCATACTTGAATATAGAATATCCCCTTATTTATGTCCATAATGTCACTTATTATTTTTTTCCAATTATTTTAGATTTTTGCTCCTGTTGTAAACGGAGTCTCTGATTTTCATTATTTAATAAAGTGGTATTATTTCTGTATAATAATGCTACCGATCTCTTCATATTGCTTTATCCAGCAAACTTGATGGCCTTATTTCTTCCTCTAATCATATATTGTATTTCTTTATCAAGTTCCATTTTGCTGGCAAAACTCTGTAGAATCATGCTCAAGAGAAGCATTTATAGGAGGCCACCTTATCTTTTTGCCGACTTTGAAGGAAATTATTCTAATGTTTCATCTTTAAATGTGATGTTTATTATGTGTATAACATAGATACCTTTAATCAACTATTTTTAGGAGACTTCCGTCTATTCCTAGTATGTTAAATGATATTATTATGAATAAATGTTGAATTGTATTTGGTTGTGGGTATCCTAATTTTCGAGATGATTATGTGGTTTCTCTTGTTTTGTTATTGGGGTGAATTCTAGTAATATGTCAACTACTTTAAATTTATGAAAGAAACCCTCCTTAGGACATTTTTTAAATATAATGCTATATTCAGTAGGAACCTTTTTAAAAAGAATGTTTACATTTATATTCATAATTGGAATTGACCTATAATTTTACTGTCACGGGGCCCCTTCGGTCAGAAGGAGAGAGTAATTGAGTTCTGACCTCCAGAACTTGCTGAGCAGAATGCAGGTTGGAGCAACCAGCTTGGGCTCCCCCCGGGTTTGTCCACACAGCGCCTTGTTTAGGGTTGTGAGAGTCTCATTCTTTAGCGGGTGGCGTGGCCCTATAATCTGGTTTCTCTACATTCCTTTCGGACTCTGGCCCTGGGCATGGTAGATTGGTGTGGGATTTGCAAAGATCAAAGCACATCTCGGTTTCCTCTGGCCTGTTTGAGGAAAGAAAAGGCCCTGCGAGGTATGCTCCCTCCCGCAAAGGCCTTGGTTGTTGTTGTGGCTTCATGTTTATTTGTTGCATATCTGAGGCCACCTGCCTCCAAATGACTGAATTTTCTGACACTTCTCTTCTTTTTGCATCACAGGTCCACACTTTTCGAGGCCCCCACTGGTGTGAATACTGTGCCAATTTCATGTGGGGGCTCATCGCCCAAGGGGTCCGGTGCTCAGGTAGACACATAACTTTCTGTACCCTTTTTCGTTTATATAAAGTGCCACCATGTTGAGCTGGAGGGCAACTCTCCAGAGCTGGGAAGTAGGCCCAGATTAGCTCAGAAGTCTGCCTTTCTAGAAGGTTCGAGGCATCCTTCTAGGTATTTGCTAAAATGGAAAGGAATAGCTTATGTTTATGCAAGAAAAGAAAAACCCAAGCAGATACATTTCCATAAGCGCCTGCCTGCCTCCCAAAATAGGCAGCATTCTTTAAAAGAAAAAGAAATTAATTCCAAAGGAATTGCATAGATAGAAAAGCTCCCATACTCCTGTGAGCCAAAATGGGCAGCTTGGAGAAACAGATCATCGTCACATAGTGTCATTAGCTTATTTATTTCCTTTTCATCCCCACTTTACTACAGAAGAAAAGTCATAAAAACAGTAATACTGGTGAACACTGACCACATACCAGGCAGTGAGCTAAGCACTTTCCATTTATCATGCCAATTAGCCTCACCAACAGACCGCAGAGGAGAAGCAATGTTTCTCCCCATTAAATAGGTGAAGAAACTGAGGCTTACAGATGATTGTTAATTGCCCTTGGCCACGTAGTAAGCGGTGGAACATTGACTTGACTCCAGAGCCCGTGCCCAGTATTTTTCTGCTATCAGATAACAATGAAACTACACACTTTGATTTGATATCACATATTTTCAAAGCCTTTTGAAACCCTAGGTGTTTTTCCACCTACAACTGAACACACACACCCATTGCTAACAGCACGCAACACATCTAGTTAAGACACAGCTAACAAAAATAGCGAAGGATTGCCAAGTGAATGTGTAACTGGGCTTCCTAAGCCACCTTGCCAAGGTTTATCTGGCAAGCAGTCCTGGCCGAGAGCAAGAATGGCCTCCTGAGATATATTGATTGGGTTTCCAACAACACCATGACTGATTTTTCCTTGCTAGGGGAAGATTTAGAAACAAAATTCTTAGGAAGCCTTTATAATAAAATAAGCTAATGACACTACGTTACAATAATCTGTTTCCCCATTTTGGCTCACAGGAGCATGGGCCTTAAATCCGTTCTCTGCCTGAAAGAGGCAACCTTAGCTCCTACTGTGTAGATACAGCGATCACGGGCGGTGATGCCTGGAGGGTTCAAGCAGATGCTCATATATGCCAGTTGACTCTACCCGCCTCCGTCTCTCATCCATGGGACAAGCAGTAAACACAGGCTCAAAGCAGTCTTCCCAGAAATGTTCCAGATACTCCGATGAACCCAAAAGATCTGGTAACACCAGGAGTTGCAAAGTATATCACAGCTGAGCCCCTGAGCAAAGTGGTAGGATGTCTGAAGTACTCAGTGGTTATTAATTCAGGCTGCCTGATCCTACCTACCCAAAATATCCCTAAGTGCTGGTATTATCCAATTTCACCAAGAAACCGGTCCAAAGTCAATATTATGAAAACAAACCTCTGGGATTCGGATTAGTTTTGAACAGCGGCTTTCTCTGGGATAAAAGGGTTTGGGTGGCTTTTTTTTAATAAAACATATGCTGAGGCTATATGTTAGCATTCTCCAGTGGCCACCCTGGAACCTCATATTTCCCCTGAGCAGCAGTAAACCTGAAAACTGATCATTAAAGTTTAAAAGAACAATCATGGCCTCTCAACTCTCCATAGTTCACATAGTTTAAACAATTTTAAATGGAAATGTATTCGTTTGCAAAACCTGAATATTTTTTTATATTCTAAAACCTCTTCATTTTCATAAAGTATCAGTATTTAATTATGCGTAAACGCTGTTGCTTCAGATATTAAAATGAAGTTTATGAGGAAATTAAGACTAGAATTATTATATAAGCGAGTATTCCCACTTCTGGATATGTACCCCAAGAACCGAAAGCAGCCCCTCCGAGAGATCGTGGCCCACCTGTGTTGAGAGCAGCATTTTTCGTAATAGCCACGAGGCAGAAGCAGCCCGGTGCCCAGCATGGGTGAGTGGTAAACGAGGTGTGGTATCCCCGTACCGTGGGATATTACAGGAGGTCCTGCTGTGTGTTAGAATAGGAGTGAAAACTTAAGGGTGTTGTGCTGAAATAAGCCTGTCAGAACAGGACAGCTACTGTGTGATTCCACTTGTGCCAGGCAACTAAAGTAGATTCAGAGACAGCAGGTAGAGTGTGGCCGCCAGGGCCGGGGGGAAAGGGTCTGGGGAGTTAGGGTTCAAGNTCAGAACAGGACAGCTACTGTGTGATTCCACTTGTGCCAGGCAACTAAAGTAGATTCAGAGACAGCAGGTAGAGTGTGGCCGCCAGGGCCGGGGGGAAAGGGTCTGGGGAGTTAGTGGGCATAGGGCTTCAGGCTTGGAAGACGAAAAATGTTTTGGAGATGAGCGGTGGTGACATTTGCACACCTATAGAAAGGTTGGCAACACTGCTGAACTCTACTCTTAAAAATGGTTGAAATGGTGAACTTCATGTTACATGTATTTTACCCCAGTTTTAAAAATTATTTTAAATGAAGTTTGTAAAAATATAGTAAAAAATAATGAAATCACTTAAGAACAGCTAAGCAGGTACCCTTCATTTCCTGTCCTGTTCGCTATTTCTTTTATCGAATTCTCACGTAGTGCCCATCACCCCCCAGACTTTACATGTATTAGCTTCTCTGATCCTCGTGATAACCTGGGGTGGGTGCTATTTTGCTCTCATTTTATAAAAGAGGGTCCAACCCTAGCCGGTTTGGCTCAGTGGTTAGAGCCTCAGCCCAAGGACTGAAGGGTCCCGGGTTCGATTCCAGCCAAGGGCACATACCTCGGTTGCAGGCTCGATCCCCAGCCCCGGTCAGGGTGCATGCAGAAGGCAATCAATCGATGTGTTTCTCGCACATCGATGTTTCTCTCTCTCTCCTTTCCACTCTTTCTGAAAAGCAATGGAAAAAATATCCTCAGGTGAGAATTTAAAAAAAAAAATTAGCCCGGCTGGGCATGGCTCAGCAGCAGTTGAGCATCGACCTAGGATCCAGGTGATCAGGGATCAATTCCCGGTCAGGGCACATGCCCGGGTTGCGGGCTCCATCCCCAGTTGGGGGCGTGCAGGAGGCAGCCGATCAATGACTCTCATCATTGACGTTTCTCTCTCTCTCCCTCTCCTTTCCTCTCTCTGAAATCAATAAAGATAAATTTAAAAAAACAAAAACAAAGAAATCAAAAAAAAAAATTAAAAGAGGGTAACCAAGAAAACCAACCAGGTCTTTTTAGTTCCGATGACCACAATTTACATCTACTAAATAGGTCTATCAAAATGTTACTGAAGTTTGCTTGAGCTTTGGTGAATTTTTCACATTGATAGAGCTGAGATGAATTAAAACTGGCTTTTCCTTTGGAAGGAAGACAGCAAGAACTTGGTCAGTAAACATTACATAAAAATCATGTCATGATTTTCAAAACTCATTTTTGATAGTTCTACAAAAGCTTAGATCCTCTCAAATCCTTGGTGTGGTTAAGTGCTTTTTTTATAAAGCAGCTGATTATAATAAAGCAGTTGATTGTAATATTTATAATGAGTGTAATATGCATATGTATATTAGAATACATATCACTATTATAGTTATTCTTTGTACCTAGAAAAACAAGTAACGTTAAAAGGCACTTTGACTAAGCAGCACATCAACTGTGAACAACTTCAGCATTAAATTTTTATTTCCCGGAATGTAGACTGTGCCCTGTTATTGTTCGAGAAATTCCATCAGTGGCTCCCAACTGCTCACAAGGCTTCACTCTGCCCACAATGTGTTCATTCAACTCAAAAGCACCTTTTCAGCTTTGCATCTTGATATGAGCTTTATAAATAATTGCTTTAATCATCACATTACATGGCATTGTTCTGAATTGTAAACCCTCAGGTGCTCCCATTGCTGTCCAGTTGGACATTCCTTCCACTCACAGGTGTCAAAATAAGGCAACTCGAGGGAAAGTGTCCTGCCCCGGCTGCCCACAGGATGGAAGGGAGTGGAAACCGCAGGCACCTTCCAGAAAAGGGGCAGATGCCGGTGGTCATGGGTTCCCAGAGAGAGTCATCTTGTCTCCCACAAGGGGAGCATCTAGGGCTTAAGAGAAACAACCCAGCAGAAGTCCCAGGTGCCCTTTATGAGCCATGACCAGCTCTGGGAACCCACACCCAGAAGCCCACATGGGGACCCAGGGGCTCCGGTCCCTAAAGGGAAGGAAGCATACACCCTGGCCAATTACCAAAACCATCTCAGTGAGATTATGGCCCCGCAGCAGAGAAAGCTTAACGAGGAAAACAGAATTATGTGAGAGTTTCCTGAGAAAAGGCGGATTTCACACTCGTCGGGTGGAGAGCACCGCCCCTCAGTGAGCTGGATGTTCCAGGGAGATATGGCAAACCCTCGGGTGTTTTCATTTTTATTTTTGGTAACGTATCATTTGTGCTGGGCTTAGACAGAAGGGCTGGGCAAGTTTAATGTGGCTTCTTTGTTTACAGACTGTGGGTTGAACGTACACAAACAGTGTTCCAAGCACGTTCCCAACGACTGTCAGCCTGATCTCAAGAGAATCAAGAAGGTGTACTGCTGTGACCTCACGACCCTGGTGAAGGCTCACAACACCCAGAGGCCCATGGTGGTGGACATATGCATCCGGGAGATCGAGGCCAGAGGTTTGGGGAGGGCTCCTTGATGGAGTGATTTTATTTTTACTGTGGCCAAGGGAACTTTCATATAATTGTTAAATTGACTTTCCACTATCGATGTTGGAAAAACAGTCTGCCCAGGCGCAGTCCACGCATGTGGGCCCACAAACTAAATCAGTTTCTGTTTCATACATAAACCATTCATGTACGAAACGCACTCATGCATGCATTCAACACATGCTTGCTGAGCATTCGTTATGGGCTACCCAGGATAGAAAAGTCATTTTATGACTTTTCATAAAATATAACATTTTCAAATGAATGTATAACATTTATTTGAAAGTATAACAAATCAATCATATTTAAACATTTAACATATTGTCATATTTATGAGTAAACATAAAGGCTCTAAATTTGTTGTTATTTTTATTATTCCATTGCAGTTGACATTGGATAATATGTGAGTTTCAGGGGTACAGGACAGTGGTTAGACATGTATATACCTTATGAAGTGACCCGCCCCGGTGAGTCTGGTACCCACCTGGCATCATACAGTTATTACAATATTATTGACCATATTCCCTATGCTGTACTTCACATCCCTGTGACTATTTTATAACTGTAAAAGGCTATAAAGTTGGGCTTGTTTCAACAAAATCGAGATCCTCTGTGTCGCACACATCTCTGCATTGATGTGTGTGCCCACCCAGTGTGGCACATGGGTTAAGATGGTGCTGGCGAGAAAGCGGGTGGCTGCCCGAAGCAGTGAACGGCGGCCAGCAGTTGGGTGAACAGAACAGGCAGGAGCTCATGTGGGTGAGAATCATAAACGTGGGCTCGCTCTGCAGAGCCAGGCAGGAGGAAGACCGGGTCCCGCGTCCCGATGCCACACAGCGAATAAAGACGGGCGTGCGGGGAAACTGAGACTGACAAGGCCCAGCGCTGACGGAACAGCTTGTGACATACAAGAGCAACGACAGGCTTTGCTCATTTCCTGATAGCGCACAGGGCAGATACGAAATGAGGGTCATGCTCGGATGTCTCGGGAAGCTGAAGTTAAAGCCTGTCTCCTTTTTAACAGGATTAAAGTCTGAAGGCCTCTACAGAGTCTCCGGGTTCACGGAGCACATCGAAGACGTCAAAATGGCATTTGATAGAGGTGGGCTTGCGCTTCCCTGCCAAACAACTTACCCTGAGTGCCCTGGGTGTGGAACCAGGTGTCATTCAGGCTGGGACCAGGGTCTCAGGGCTCCTGAGAGCTGCTGTTCTTCAGGAAGCCGGGGGATATGGTTTACAAAGCTCCTACTTCTCTGCCTCTCTGGGGGAGTATTGTTTTTAAGTGTGGACAAGTGGCCATACAAGGAAGTGAGTTTAAAATACCCCTTGAATGGGCCCTGGCCGGGTAGCTCGGTTGTTGGAGCATCTTCGTGATAGGCCAACATTGCTTGTTCGATCCTGATCAGGGTACATATAAGAATCAACCAATGGACGCATAAATAAGTGGAACAACAAATCAGTGTCTCTCTATCTTTCTGTCTCTCTGTCTCTCTCTCTCAAGATAAATAAATAAATTTTGGTGCCACTAAGATATTTGAGNGATCCTGATCAGGGTACATATAAGAATCAACCAATGGACGCATAAATAAGTGGAACAACAAATCAGTGTCTCTCTGTCTCTCTCTCTCAAGATAAATAAATAAATTTTGGTGCCACTAAGATATTTGAGTTGGTTGCCCAACATTTATGGTCAGTCCACACGGCACCTGGATACCCTCTGACTCCCTCATCTCGGGCTCCCATTGCCCTTCCCCTTCTCCCAAAGCTCCAAACGAGAGCGTAAGGGAGCGGGTGGGGTACCCCGCACAGTGAAGTCGGGGAAGCCTGTGGAAGGTAACTCCTTTTGTTCCTCATGACTGTGTCATGTGCTCTCCAGGCCATATTATCTCTTGGGAACTTCTTAAAAATACAGATCACCAAGGCCCACTGCGGGACTCATTCAGAAAGCTGGGTGAGCCCACAGTTCTGTATTTCTAATGAATGGTCCAGTTAATACGGGTGCAGCCAGTCGAGCAATGGAACCCACTAGCCCACTAGCTGGAACCTCCACTCTCTGGAATAGTAGACGAGGTCTCTGATGGCCTGGCTGCCTTACCTATTCAAGGTCACGGCCAGTTTCTCTTCCCTGTGCACTTTGGGCCCCAGCAACGCTGAAATACACCTCAGCGTTTTCATGAACGAGCCCACGTTGCTCTGTCCATCTAGAATGGGTTCCCACCTCCGCCTGGCAAACCATCCCTGCCCATCAGGGTCAGCTCGTCCTTCCTCTTTCATGAATCCTCCCTGACCCCCCAAGCTGACCTAAGGGTTCCATTTCCTTTCTTGCCCCCCACCCCATGTTTCCACATGTCTCTAGCAGGGCAGTCTTTCAGTGTCCTTGTCATTGCCGAGTTGCATGCCTGACTCCCAATCTACTAGAGCTATTTAAAGGGAGTGTGTCCTTTCTTCTTTGACTCACAGGGGCTTAACAGTGCCTGGGACACGGTACACTCTCAATAAATGTTTGTTAAATATGTAAATGGGACCACATGGCATATCTGCTATACTCTCGCTGTTTTCTGTACATCGCCTTTTTTTATCAAACCAAATTTGCTCAGGCAAATGTTCTTTCAGTTCTTTCTATAAAAAAAAAAAAAAAAAAAAATGCTGATAGTCCCTATATGATGAAAATGGTTTTTATCCAAAANTTTTTAAAAAAAAAAAAAAAAAAAAAAATGCTGATAGTCCCTATATGATGAAAATGGTTTTTATCCAAAAACCATTATAGTATGTGCCACTTAAATGGGATGATATTTACTAATGGTCAAACAGAAGGCCAAAAACATCTTGTGAATGACTGTGAAAATGGTAAGAAAAACAATATTACCTATACCTGCGGGAAGGCCAAGGTTTCCCAAATTTAGGTCCTAGGGACTGGGGAGGAAGAATTGAGCTCAAAGAAACTTCAGTGAGCCTGAGACACACACCAGAAGCTGAAGATATTTAAAAAGTATTTTGTGTATATCATCTTCAAATCCAAGTCCAAAGAACACCGGTGAAGCTATTTAAGGGCTCCTTGACTTATTTCTATTACAAATCTGGTGGTTACTGTATTCTGTTGTGAATCTAGATACAATCCAGAATATGAACTTAGTGCAAAATTTCTATTTAGCAAATTACCAGATGCAAAGAAACATTTTAAGCCTGTTTCACAACCCTTTTGGCTACAGTAACCCTCAGACCCCTTACTTCCTGCATCTCTGTGATGAGAAGTAGTCAGCTGAGACTTGGAAGGGAGTATTCATTGTTGGATTTTTTTTTTTTTTTTCCTTCCTGGGCATGCTTTCACTTGGTAAAATCAGGTCCTAATTAGGAATTGGACCACTGATTGTTTTTCAGATGGTGAGAAAGTAGACATATCTGCCAACATCTATCCAGACATAAACATCATCACCGGAGCCCTTAAACTGTATTTCAGAGACTTACCCATTCCTGTCATCACCTACGACACCTATTCCAAGTTTATAGAAGCAGCAAGTAAGTACTGAGAACTAGTTTTTCATTTGTCCCAGCTGTTTAAGTACAGTGCGTTTGAAGTCAAGAAAATGAAAACTCAGAACTGTGTAGATTATTGTGTGAGCCGCTTGCTTTGCAATTAGCCACAGTGGTGCAGTTGATAGAAAAGAAGGCATCGAGCCCCGGCTGAGCTGAACCAGTACCAGGGCACTCGGTTGAGCTGAAGCCTCATGCCAGGCAGCTCTGTCCCTCCCCATCGCCTCTCCTGTGCTGGGAACCTGCACCGTCAGGCCTATTCCGTTATATGTTGAAAGCAAGGATGTTCCTATAATAAAAAATAATTAGATATTCTTTGGTGAGGACTGTAGAGATTGACTGCTTTCATCCATTAGCTAGAATCCTATTGCTAATCAATTAAAGTCACACCCCAACTTTTTCCCATTGAAACTTTTCAAAATTAATAACAGGCCAAGAGCCCGGCCAATGTGGCTCAGTTAGTTCAGTGTTGTCCCATGCACCAGTAGGTCGCTGGTTCGCTTCCCAGTCAGGGCACATGCCCAGGTTGTGGGCTTGATCCCCAGTAGGGGTCGTGCAGGAGGCAGCTGATCAATGTTTCTCTCTCATCAATGTTTCTATTCTATCCCTCTCTCTTCTCTAAAATCAATAAAAACGTATTAAATATATATATTTACCCATTCCTGTCATCACCTACGACACCTATTCCAAGTTTATAGAAGCAGCATAANTCTCTTCTCTAAAATCAATAAAAACGTATTAAATATATATATTTACCCATCCCTGTCATCACCTACGACACCTATTCCAAGTTTATAGAAGCAGCATATATATATATATNAGCATAAATATATATATATATATATAATCTTGAAAGGTATGTGCTACTAAGTATAGTAGTGAGTCAGGGAAACTCACAGGCAGGCTGGGATTAGTGCACTGTGCAGAGGAGCTGTGGCCCTTCCTCCTGGTAAGAGCATCCCTTCCCTTCCTGGGTCCTAGTGGTCCTGAGCAGAGAAGGTTCTAGCAGCAGGGGACCCTCCACCCCAGGAGGAATGATGACAGAGCCTTCTTTGGGTGGCTGCCAGAGACCTAAAAAGCAGAGGCACGCACGCTTCCTCCCATTGTCCATGTGCCTGGAGCCCACTTCCTAACCCGGACTGCACACCAGGGCCCGCCGCTCCAGCGCTTTGGTGAAACGTGCCGTTAACGCAGGCTGGCCTGGCCGGCTCCTCCGCCAGCACCCTGGCGTTGTCAAAGTTACTCGGTTCTGGAAGCCGGCCAGGAAAGACTTAATTAGACAACTTTAAGGGAATGCTACCAAGTGAGATCTGGTTTAAATTAAAGCTTGCGACGGTGAGATTTCTGGCACATCCACCATTGAGAAGAAGCTGGGCAAAGCCCAGTTCGTGTCTGTGCCTCCAGTAGGCATCTGCAGGCTGCAGGCTCCTGGAGGGCCAGGACCGGGCCCAGCCTCC